AGTGGAAGCATTCTTCATTACACATGAACGGCTGTATGTTTAGTGAGGATTTAGCATGATGTTTCCCTGAGTCTGGTGGGGAGAATTTTCTGATTATCAAGCTGTGAACTGTCAGTGGCATAATTTTCCTAAGCATTCAGGGAGTAGTGTTCTTACGGTATTTACATGCCTGGAGATGCAGAAAGCACTGCCAATGCCTACTGGTGCCAAAAGTGGTTAGAAAACAAATGACTGATTTCCAGAACTGGATAATTTGGAAGTACCGTAATGTGCCTTTCTGCATCTTTAAGCATATCTTTTAAAGCCTGATGCCAAGTGACTTCAGCACCTAACCCTGCTGTCAAAAGCACTTCAATCAGTTAGGAACTGCTGTGAGTCATGTGCAGGGACAACAGAAAGAGGGCTATGAGGCAAAGTCTTCAACCCCGCTGACTGCCCAGGACTAGTCATTTCAGCTTGCCGTAACTCACGGGGCTGCCAGCAGCAGCAGCAGCTCAGAAGATGCTCTGGTGGCAGTGGAGGTGCCTCTGTTGCAGGGAGGGACAAAGAGAGACAATGCCCTACTCCACCAGGCACCCAAGCAGCAAGTTGCCCTTGCTCCTGAGCCCCAGCCAGCTCCCACTGGGGCTCTTCTAAAAGACTTGGATGCTCCTCAACAATAAAGTTAAACCCTTAACTCATTTAGTTGCCTTTCCTTCTCTATTCTTCCTTAACTCATCTTCTATGAAAATGTCAGTGACAGCCACTGCTAGGTTTTCTTGCATGAGATTTGGCTCAAAGTTATGCATATGCTCTGTTTATGTTTTGTATGTGTAGAACAAATAGCAAGCTCAGCCAGGGGAAGGACCCCCAGTAGTTACCTGACAGCATACAACACAGCAATATGTCAATGAATCATTCAATCAACTAATAATAGCAGGTAAGAGAAAGCCAGAAAGACCCATTCTTACATGTTCTGCAAAATGAAAAGCTAATTCATAAGAACTAGTCTATAGAACTGTGTCCCATGTTCTTGAAATCTCTGTATGCTGTAAATATCACGCATAGTGAAATGACTCACTCTTTAAGGCAAATGCTAAATTTAAATCAAAGAACTCTTGGCTTTCTTTTTTTCTTAAAGATAAGCAATAATTTATTTCTCTTTCATCTTCACAATTATCACATACTGCCCAGCTACATGACCAATGCCACTACATAACACAGGAGAATTGCCCACCTACACTTTACTTGGACAAATACAATTGCAATTTACAGATTAAATGTACTGTACAATGTGTAGTTGGAAAAATGTCATTCTTATCTATATGATGGAATGTGGCATATGATTTATAAACAGATGCAATCTAAGATGTAAAACTTTAAAACTTGTTAAGCCAAGGATACAGTATAAAGCATTTTGTTTTGGTATTGTATTGTTACTAAAGTAGAAAAAAGAAAACTAGAGAAATAAATCCAGATCTTAACTTACAGGATATGTATTAGGTTAAGAAATTAATTGGCTTCTCCACTTTTTTTGCTTTGCTTTTCTTTTTCTTTTTTTTTTTCTACAAATGAATAATATGAATATATTGCAGGATAAAGAAAGACTGCCAGATAAAGAAGGTACCGTTATATGAAAAACAAATGAAAAATCACCAGGTAAGTCTGCTTACAAAAAAGGTCAAACTATAAACAGTCACAAAATATATAAAAATGCCACATTGAACGAGGCAATCGTACTCTACCCAAACTGGTAGTATACTCTCTGAAAGAAGTTGCGTTCATACAGTAGTAACTGATAAAAAGGCATTGTGCACTCTTGTGCCATCTGGAGATTTAGCACCATGTGTCATCAGTTCTTGGATTGTCATCCAGTTGTCCAAGATTTTCTTGTTTCTCTTTTTCATCATCTTTTTGTGACTCAGTTCAATAATGTTAATTTCCTTTTTGCCCTCGCTGCCACTCTGCGGACTTTCCTTAAGACACTCCAGCCTGCTCCTCATCATGAATTCCCGCCGCCTCCTCTGCTCCTTAGCTCGCACCAAATGTTGCTTCCGCTCTTCTTTGCTCCAGTAGCGACCCATCTTCATCTCACTCATCGTATCATCATCTGTCGTCATCCCACTGCGCTCCTCTTTAATTTTTAAGGCACGTTCCTTCAGGATTCTGTCTCGAACTGGTCTCTTTGTGATGTACCTCGTCCCATCACTCCTTATTTTCACTTTCCATTCCATCTTGGGCTCCGCACACTTCTGCGAGTCTTTGCACATGCTCACCAGGCTGAGCTGGCTTTGGGCGTACTCCACAGCAGACTTCTGCTGGATCAGTTGCATATAGCTTTGATAATGCTTTGCATGAGCAGGTATATTCCCATACCTGTAAGAAGAGCTGTGATATGGAGACAGGTAGGGAATGTGCTCGCTACTCTGCTTTTCCTGGTCTGTGAATTTGCCACTTTCTGATGCCAGCACTGCGTCCTCAGCAGCACTATTTTGCTCAGTGGGTTTGGTTTTGGCTGAGGTTGTCTCCCTGTTGCTTTGTCCGGAGGATGACTGATTAGCCACAATTGTGCTCCTCAGGTTTTTCCTGTTGGTTATGCTGATCATCCTCTGGAGAGAGTTATCAGGGGATCGCTCCACAGTCAGCGGAGTGCTCCTGCAACTTTCGGCTGTGTTGTAGGCGCTGGAGCTGTCCTTGTCGGACTTCTCAGGGTGCTCCATGATGTCATCCAGTTTGCCTCTTTGTACATCTATGCTGGTGTTATAATTCCTGAATCCTTCATCATGTAAAGCCCAAATGTCTCCGTACTGATCCCTCACCTTTTGGAGTCGGTGAGCTTGCATAATATTCTGACATTCGAGTTCAATGTTCCTCAGTTCCTCATTGAGTAGCTGCAGCTCATGCTCCACTCCATCTTGCTCTCTTCTGTTGCACTCTATTGTGCTGCTCGAGTAATACAGGTCATACTCCCCGTGGTTTCGAATCTTGCACTTCAGTTCCAACAGCTGCCGAAACCTTTCACATTCCTCCTCTGGGTTTCCTATGAAATCAGACTCGATGTATTCCCCAGACACAAAGCTTTCATTGCACTGGAGCTCAACACTTCTTAATGTATCTTGGCTGTGGCCCAACTCCCGTTTGCTCTGCAGGGTAGCGCTGTTCTGCTCCTCAGGTGCATTTTCTTGCTCTGAGCTCTCGTCATTACGCAGACTCTCATCTGTAGGTCCCACCCCACTGTCCTTCTCATGATTGTTGGATGATGAGGTTGCAGTGTCTGTAGTGCCATCCTCCTCTTCATGTTTCTTTGGCTAAAAAAATGAGCAAACCAAAATGATTATCAAATGCAGACCATATTACATGAGAATATTTTCCAGCTCTGTTTTGCTTAAACAGCTGGGATCTGATTTAAGCTGAATTAAAACAGATCACTAAAGAGCAGTCCTACTGCTCAGAGCTTTTAAAAATTTCTGAGAGTCATGCTGTGGTGGCCATACCGAGTGAAGTAGATGAATTACAGAACTGGTGACATATCTTCTAAAGTCCGGAAAGAAATATTTCCCTCTCTAGCTAAGCCATCTCTTTGCAGTGCTTAAAGATAATGATCACCAGATGGTGCACTGTTTTTGATTCTGGATTATGGCCAGAGACTGGTGGAGCTGAAATCTTCTCAAACTTGGGAAAAAGCTTCAGTACTGGTGTCACTTCAAAAAAATAGATCAAGCAGCCAATCAAACAATGACTAGTACAATCTAAGAGGGTGCAAAAAGACTACTTTCATCAGTGGGGCTTTTTTTTTTTAACCAGTGAACTCCTTATTTGCTCCAAGGAGACGGGCAGGGTTGAAGCCTGCAGAGGGCTAGCCTGTTCCACTACACCCTCCATGGCCCTCTGTCACACTTCTTGTTTTCAGTAGTCTTTTTCCGAAAGACTGTTCATTTTGAACTCTATGATTTTGCTCAAGTAGACCTCTCTCCATTGCATCCCTGGAGACCATTTTTGTTCCCTAGTTAGAGTTTATGTTCCTTAGAAATAAAAACAGCCTTTTACCATTAAGCACAGAACAACACTGAGTGCTCGCCATGGGCATAATGTCAAGCTTTTAGGCTGTTGTTTTTTAATTCACACTCCACTCATTGTACCTAACCTATTTATATTCTCAACCTATTTATATTCTCAAAGAATGTCAGATAATGCCTCTCTGAAGAGACAGACACTTTTTATTTTTCAAACTGGATAAGCAAAGAATTCCCCGCTATTCACCTTACAGAGCAATCAGGCAGAGTGCAATTTATATGGCCTGTTCACCAAGTATCTAAGTGTACATAGTAGCAATGAAACACTGTTTCTCTTTTAGGAGGTGTAATTGCATAATTATGTATAATGCTAGTTATAATCAAGGGAGAAAAAAAGGTACAGTGCACCCATTGAAAGGAAACAAACTCAAAGAGGCCACTGTCATAATTCCCTTTTCCTCTACTTTGACAGACAGTAAAACAGGATGAAATTGTGTCTCCTATCTCATTCTTTCTCCTCTCTTCATGTGCACCTCATAATCACACACCCTTCAACTGGCTTCCTTTCTTCAATTGTTAGGAAAAAATAATGGCTTAGTATTAGAAAAACAAAAATAACCCCCGCCCTCCAAATGCAACATAATAGTGGAATAAAATAAATACTGAAACACACCACCAGGAGAATTCAGTGTCTGTGACAGACCAGTTAAAAGTGTCTGAAAAGATGTTTTAGCAATTTGTTGTCAGACAAGAGATGCAAAATCGTAGCATACCTTTTACACTCATCCTTTTGCACATGCAACATGCAGCTGATACCAAAATGCACAATAAATGTATAATTCTCACATAGCTTTGGCAGCCACGCTGGCAATGCGCCAATTACTATCTCTCACTCTCCCCAAATGGGAGAAACTCTCCCCTTGAATTTAAACATCATAGGACCGAATATATTCAGTGTTATTCAAGCAATCATGCAGAAGTTCAATGTTTCTTGATGTTATAGGGTCAAAATTTTCTAGAAACTAGATTTCGAAACTGCAAGGGACAAAGGCAGACTTTAATGAAAATTCTGCAAGTTTTAAAAATTAAATGGTACGTATTTTCCCGATCTGAGATCCTCTCAGATCTTTCTACTTATCTGCTTAAAAAACAAGGGTATCTTCTTGTCACAGGAAGAAGCAATATGAAGAGTAGTACCAATAACACTCTAAATAACTAACTATTGCAGAATTGTTCTATAGTTATCACTTATCTGTTCTTTCCTTCCTCAGCTTATGCATTGCTGTGAAGGTGTATAAAATAAATTGGGAGATTTTTTATTAAGGCTCTTGTTTAATTTTTCCAAAGTGGCTGCAACACTTTAGTTCCATTTTCAGGAGTAGCTGGAGAGTGGGAATGCAATGTCTTCCCACATCACCTGTTTTAATTTTAAGAGTTCCAAAATGTTGTATTTTACAGAGAGAAAAAAAAATAATGTCTAGAGAATTCTTCATGAAAACCAAGAGTAACCAGAAAGAAAAGCACCCCAAGCAGCCAAGTGGTCAGGGCATTCACCAGGAATGCTGGAGATTTACGTTTCATTTTGTATTTTTCTAGTTTACCTCCTCCAGGTGAGTGCCGCTACATAAGCTATTCTAGTCCCTTCTCTCACCTGCTTTAGAGCTGCTCCAGCTACCAGTGACCTCCTCTGCCCCCAAACCTTTCAGCTCAGAAGTGACTCCAGTCTGGGTCACCTACGTTGCACTCTGGCTGCTGCACTGTGTAACCCATGCTTCTCACTGCTCTGGAAAATAGTTAATTACTGACATGAGGGAGAACAGCTCCCCCAGACACTGGGAGGGCTGTGCTGCAAAACAGCCAGAAATTTGGGTGCCTGCCCCAAATGCAGGACTCCATCCACACTAGCAAATGAGGAAGGCCAGGATCTGCTCGCTGACCCTGAAGGTGAGCGATGTAGCACAACTTGCATCCATATGACTAAACGCATCTTAACCCCTAAAGAGGGCTTATCCGTACTGTGTTAGCACAGTTATACAGCTCCGTGATGTTTCCTCTGATGTCTCCAGCATGGTTCCATACCACCAAAGCATATATTTGAGAATTTCTGAAAAATCCCTTAATGTATCTATTTGTATAGGTGTTGAAACAGACTTTACAGTTTGGGCCCATGCAATCAACACTTTCAGAATTAGTGACTCTTGTTTTGCACACCACTCTTATGAACAATTTAAACTTAACTTCTTCAGCTTCCACTTGATTTAGACTGAGTGAATATAATACACTGCCATCTACTCAAGTTACTATCCATAATTAACACACACAAAAGAAGTAAATAAAGCAAACTCCGTCTTTGCGGTCTAACAGAAATCAGATGGATGGGACTGATTTCACCAAATATAAGTGTCTATAGTACAGGCACCCGAATGTCAGGTAGTCCCTTTGCGTTCCCCTCCCTGTCAGGAAAAAACAAGTGCCTGTACAATCAGATTCTTCTCAACCTAAAGCAGACATCCATATCACGCTAAATCTTTCCCCAGTATGTGGATACTTGCAGCTAGTTCAATTAAGAAAATGGAAAGTAATACAGGTATTTATTGTACTGCATGTTTTTGAGATATATTTTTTAAAAAAGTCCACTGTGACCCAAGTAAGGTAGCCCCTGGCATTTCTGTCCTGGACTTGTCATGCTTGCCAAAGCTCCTAAACACATGCAGACTGAGCAGTCTTTTACAGTATGAGATTATTTTAATTTTATTTTGAAAGGTAGCAAGCCTAATTCCAGATTAAGTCCCTTCTGAAAAACAAGAGATAGTCTCCAATTGTCAGTGCATTGCTTTTGTCAGTGTTATCTATTATCTATTCCAAACTAAGTGCTTGTTTTCAAACGTAGGTTGTCAATCTCTTTTACAATTACTTCTGTTTGAAATACCAAAGGGCTCCTTAGGCCTCATCTTTGCAGTGAGAACTCAGATAATGAGAAGGCAAACCTGGCAGTGCGTACAATCAAGCAATAAATGAACCTCAAAAGATTCCGCATCTCAGCTCCAGCAAGCATTCATGCCTATAAAATGGCTAATCTTGCAGGAATTCAGGCACTGTTCTATTCTCATTTTATAACTTATGATGTATATTGGGACTCAAAACCCAGGCTGCTGCTGAAGTTTGAAGGCAGTGAGATTCAGTTGAAGGTTTTAATAAACGTAGGTGCTGGGCTCTCCTGTCAGTCTCTGACAGTGAGAGGGAGACTGACCACAGTGAGAGGAATCTCCAGTGGCAGGCTAACCACAAGGTGCTCGAGCCACGAGGGAAGATTGGGATTGATTTCAGTGTTGCACCAAAAGGGAAAATGCTCTTCTGCAAACAATGCTGTTCTTTTAAAACAGGCCTCTCTCAGAAAAGAACTTCCCCCAGATATTTTCACTGCATTTCAGCTTTGAATGAACTTGAATGAATTTTTTTTATCCAATTCTTTCTCTTCTTAATAAGTTTTGATATATTCCATGATACTGATACGAATTTCTGCATGGCAAATGTATGGTATTCTTCTGAAAGTTATCTCTGCTGCACAATGTACCGTGATGTTGTAAAGGGGAAGGAATACAATGAGTTATAAAAAATGGAGAATTACATCTTTCCTTGAGGTTTATTGGACTATTCTATACAGAGAAGATACAATTCTTGATTAAATTCTGTAGAGTGGCTGAAAAACATACAGAAAAGACATGACTATCTACTTAATTCTTCTATTACAAACTCTACCAGATTTTCCTGTGACAGCTCATACTAAATGTTGAAATGGCATTCCGTAAAACAGACTTGTATTTGGAAGGATATTCTGCTATAGTGTGTATTCATTCCTGCAGCTTGCAAGATTCATGATGACAGATGACATTGAAGCCAGAGGACTGTGTTTTGGTTCACAAAAATCAAGGCTGGCATTAGAGCGAAATCTCCATGGCCAACTGGGGAGCTTGAAGTTACTCAGCTTGGCCACTGGCATCTGCAACAAGAGTGGTCTCGTTGCTTCGATGGATTATGTGATTCACCTCAGGAAACTGCTAGGTTTCCCAGCCTAACAAGGAGTAAAGAACCAGTTTTCTGACTTGCTGAGTCACTAAATAGAGTCCAGAGAGACAGCAGCTGCCACAAATTACTGACGCCCCATTACACACCAAGCTGCGTTTGGTTGATTCGATTACTCATCAGAAGGGCAAAGAAATGTCTGGCTGTCCTAGAATTACTTCACGCAACCCAATGTCAGACACCGACAGAGCACAAGTGACCATAATTTTTTCAAGTGTAGCTCTCTTCTACAGTAATATAAATTCTCAATAGGGGAAAAAAACCCCCTATCCTTAGTATAAAATCCCAATGGGGACTAAGCAATCTCAATGGCTTCTGTGAAACCACTTCACAGAACACCGCTGTTCAATAATTAACACTATCCGCAACCCAAATTCAGTGAAAAAGCCAAAGCTTGACCAGAACTTGGGAGTGGAAGGTCACAACTGCGAAGTGATTTCAGAGGCCCCAACAAATTGTGTGAGGGGCTTGTAGATAGACCTGCTGAAGAATTTCCTCCAGAAGTGGGGGTTTGTGTGAAAATGTCACTGTGCAAAGGAAATTGCTTTGTGAAGAACAAGAGTTCTTTCTGACAGGAAATCTTTTGCTATCCAAGATAAAATTTGTGGTTAAAAAAATAAACAAGATGCCAGTTACCAGTTCAAAGTAGCTAGCAGTGCAGTAGTTAGCACATTTAACGTGGGAAGCTGAGGCTTGGATCACTGCCTGGAAAAGAGTTTCCTAACTAAAAGGCCACTATAAATCCTGTTGCAAGGCTTCCTTCACCTCTGACCCTGGAGTTATTCCACTTTGTGTAAATAATTAAATGCTTGTAAGATCAAGGATTTGTAATCTGATCTATCATATTCCAGATAATTGACTTAATTATTCTGTCAGTGTCTCTGTCCCAGTGAATATTTAATTTATGTACAGTGAATAGCTTTAATAGGAGCTATCACCTAGTCAATAGCCCAACGTCAAGGCTGGAGAGGAGGTGAGGAGGAAACAGGCTAGATACATGTTCAGGCCCCCAATGTGGAGTGGATGGTGGGGTATTTGAAGCCAGATCTCCCATTAGCCAAATAAGCTATTCTGGTTTCCAGAACAAGGAAGACTCTCACAGTCTTTCTCCCTCTCTTTATTAAAAAGAGAAATGCCTCAGGCTCTGCTTTCAAGCAATTCAGAATGGGGAAAAAAATGTAAGTCACAAATTTCTGTGGGTGGAAAACCAGTTTCTCCCCAGCTACACATACACAGAAGCCAGGAGGTGAAGTTGGATTTTGTTTCCTTGGCTCCATGCAGGTGTGCATGCTGACAGATCACCTGATTCAGGTGTGGATAAGGTCACTTATGCCTTCCACAAAAAAGTACAACAGAGAAGACCCGTCCCTTGATGAAACTGTGTGGCTGGGGGTGCACATGCATCTTTGCCATAGTCACACCGCTTTCAGCACATATGGGCAGGTAAAAGTCGGGATAGCAGCAAGCTGAGACTATGCAAACAATCTGCTTATTTGTCTCCATTAACAAAACAAATGCCGAGCTGTGCGCTGTCGGTATAAGAAAAATACACTTGTATTACCAAAACACCTGTTGTTTATTTTAAACACCTCTTCCATCTTGTTTTGCAAGCTCTCTGGTGCAAGGGCTGGCTCATACCTCACATGCATACAACAAGAGGGACATCTATCTCGACTTGGATCTCTAGGTGCCACACTGATACAATTCATTAAAAAAAAACTGACATAAAATATAGCAACATAAACCCCAAACACTACAGAATTAAAGAAGGAAAGCAATATTATTCTGAGAGTTCAGAGAAAATCAGAAATCTGCACTTCTCCAGCCTCCTAAATTGTTTGCTAACTTGTGATACTGGGCCTAAGCATCTATTGTTCTCCTTCTCCTTACCTACAGCGTGCCAGAGTTCACAGCATTTTAGAGACAGAATTCTACCAAAGCCTTTGACTCCATTTTACAGCATACCATTCCATTCTCTATTAATAAAAAGTATACCTAGAAAAATTTCAAATGATACATTTAGTAGCAGCCCTACCTGCTCCACCTCGTTGGCTGTGTACTGCATTGCTTCATTATGCTGCTCTTCCAACATTTCCAAGTTTAACTCCTCTAAGAATTCATTCCTTTCATCATCCAGCCACCCTTCTTCCAGCTGCAAAGAATACATTAGTACATTATATTATGTTAGCAAGGACACATGCTAAAACAGGGTAAACCCAAATGGCAATGCTTGACTAGTTCTTTTTATCCTAATGATTCTCTTCAGAAAGCCAGGCAGTAGGAGTTCCCATCTCAAAAAGAGAAGAAGAAAAAGAAGGATAAAAAAAATGGGACTCTCATGCCTTTTATCCTTTCTTGAAACAGTATGACTGATTTTCTCTCATAATGAAGGAGACTGCACAGCACAGACATTATTTCCTTTCAAAAGGTATGAAAGGCACAGCACATAATCCTGAAGCTGTCATGTTCATTACTGCCGAGAGCGCCCGTGCTGAAAGAGCGGTAACGTTACTAATAGGGCCAGGAGGCAACCGGGCTCTTTCCTCTAACAACCTGCGTCCCAGCGCTGTGCCCTGCTGCCGCCACCTCAATAGAAACCTTATGTTGCGTTTCTGTCACCGTTTTCCCATTGATCTTCTAGGTAAACAAACAAACAGAAGAGGGTGACAGAAAGATGTGGTGATTTGAAGGCAGGTTATTTTTGTTCTTGCGGTGTGCCTGGAAGCAAGGCTTACCCGTTTGTTTGTTTCTTTTCCCAAGTGTAAAATAATACTTTGACATTTGGTGAAGACAGTGTTGCAAAAGGACAGGAGGGGATGCTATGTTTTCTGTCAAGTGAGTATATCCTCTCCCCGCACCCACTTTGCACCCTTCACATCTTTCTGAACTGATGAAACAGGCACCCCTGGCCAAAAATGCTATTCTTCCCATGGTGTTCGTCGTGCATGTGGCACACATCCATTTGTATTTGTCGTGCCTTGCCAGATGGCACACTGTGTTGAGAAGGAAAATACTGGTCAGTGACACTCCTGACTGTAACGGTGGGACCATAGCAGAAGGAAACACATTGTTTTGTCGTTCCTGAAGGAACCAGAGGAAGAAGGTGACAAAAAGATGCTAAAAGTCTCAGCATTAGACAGTTACAAAAGTACCAACTACTCATGTCCTGAGACAGCAAACGCAATGTAACACGGGCCAATGCCTACAGCAGAAGTACCATGGCATCAAAGCCAGCAGAGCTCCGGCCACAGATGCCAGTCAGAAAAGTTACACCAAGCCAGCAAGTAGTAGTTCAAAGCTACATGAGGAGTGATTGATGCTGTGTAGTACTTCTAGCTGAATGCTGGCAGGAAACCATTGTTTCCTTCACTAACTCTGATGTGGTTTTGCCTATGACAATGAACTCTTTCCTCTTATAAGGAACATAAGCTTTTCACCATTTTCCTTGGCAAAGCCAGCCTCTAAGAGTTTGGGATTAGAAAGAGGCTTTTTTTCTTGAGGACATGTAATTTTTATGTTTGTCCTTAATGGGACTTTCAAACCATCGTCTGAAACATCTGGTACTGGCCACTAGTTTTGTTTACTTGTCTTGTTTGCTATTTTTTTCCCAGGAAAGCATGAACACAACCTTCCTCTACCATAAAGGACACAGTTGAATTTCCCTCATTTGAGGAAGTCGCAGAGATTAACAAATCTGGAGGATGAAAGATGAATCTCAGTCAGGCAAATCTGCTGCTTTGATTGTGGCAGACCCAGTACCTAACTAATGAGAATGCTTACGTTATGTTACAGCTTTTAGACTAAAAAAAAAAATATGGCTTAGTATATATGTGCACTACATACACTGTGTGCACATACACACATGTGAATGCACATGCCTGTGCTGTTTGTTTATATATTAAACAGGCTATAGCGCTCCTCCTGTTTCGGAACTTAGTTATTCATTGGTATTCACTGTGCAAATAAACGCTCAGAGAAGGTTTTCTTCCTTGTTACCAAATGAATGTGCTCAGCAGTCACCCTTCAAGATTGCAATACTGCCATTACCATTTTCTATCTAGAAATAAAAGCCTGCTTAATCCTGCTGTCTTTCACCAGAGTCAAAGCAACACAACTAGCAGAAGTCAGTTTGTGGACAGCCTGATTTCTGACATACTACAGCTTTTTTTTCAGTTTTGTATGAATATGTTCTTAAAACACATAAATTAAACAAAAAAAGCCCAACACCAAAGCCCCAAACCCAAACCAAAACACACTTTTATAATTTGAAAGGAGCATCCATATGGGAAGCTATATTGGTATAGCTAAGTAATTCCTTATCTCATATTGATGTAACTTTTTCATGTTGACCAGTCTATACAAATACAGAGAAAGAATGACTTTCCCTGGGCATGTATTGTATAAGTGGGTGGGTTTCTGTTCCCTACTGAAAAACAAAATCTTAGTGAAAAATAGTATGAATAATATTGAAACAACTTTTTCAAAACTTCTGCAACTTCCAGAGGGCTACAATTTTGCAATACAAACTGATGTGTGGCCTTTTTTTGCTGTACTATGTCACCAGTTTTATGGGAATTGTTTAGATTCCTGAAAAACAAAGGAAACGAATGCTGAAACAGTGAATCTTTTATAACTACCGTATTCAAGCAGAGATTCCAAGTGGCACTGAATTACACTTATTCAATTTAATTTATACAGAGTATGCAGCTAGTGAGACTGAGAATATCAGATCAATAGCATGAGAGACAAATGGCAACATAACCAACTCTGAATTCTTGGCAGATGGAGAGAACAGTGACAATATAATGTCTTTTTGCTTTGCAATGGCCTATAAACAGAATATAAAGGGAAGTACAAACATTGCTCTTCTTCCACTCTACCTCTGCTTTAGTCTGATGATCAACCTAGCATCTGCCCCCCGCAATGATATAAAAAATTCTTGGCATGGCAAGATTCTTGGCATTGACCTAATTTTATTTTTAAAACCATAGAAATGCTTCTAACAGCTTTTGAAAATGCACCTCCCAAGATACAATTTGTAATGTACAAGCAGGTTTTTGTGACCAGGGTGCTTTGAAAACAATTAGATCCAGGTTTCCTGAATGGTATTGTAGTGAAAGTCCCATAACTGGTACATAAATGAACAGTTTAAATGCCTGCTTATAAGTGCATAGGATAAAAAGAGCCATCACCAATGACCAACTACAGCTTTGTGTAAATTCATATAAATGACTGAGGTAAGTATGGGAAATTTATCCCCAGAACAAATAAGAACTGTCTAACAAGTAATACATAGTTTTCAAGTCCTACTTCATATTTTACTAATATCATATGAGTGTTGTCAGCCTTATTTGTATACCTGTTTACTCTGTCTGCTGGAGAGGAATGGCTTAGTTTGGCGAGAACAAGCCCTAGTAATATCATGTTATTTTCTTTGTTGGCTAAACGGGCAAAGCTCTGCAATTATCTGTTTCCTCCTTTTGTCATGAACTTTGGCATTTCTATTTCTCAGCAGTTCATTACTTACAGTGACAGTCAATGTACAGTATAACCTGGGTTCTGGCTCAGTGCATCTGTTTAGTCTAACCTGCATCTCCGGTCTTGCGACCAGCAACACGATTTTCTTGCATTCTTCGCTGGAGAGTAATGCCACTGCCTCTTCCCGATTCTGGACATCTTGGCCATTTATCTAGAAAACAAATGAAAGTGGCACATTAGTTTCTATTTCCACAAAGCAACACACAATAAAGGGCAGATATCAGCTCATTTGTGCTGAATGTATGGACAATGAAACTCCCGCAACGGGCTCATCTTCAGCCCCTCAGTGGTAAGTGCCTTCACTCAATTATGCGCTTACTGTAAGAGCTGTATCGATCGTTGAAGGATGGCGGACATCAGAGGAAGCAGTTATGTTCATAAATGTCCAACCTGCGCCCTGGTAACATACATCTAGCAACACAATTAACCAGCCCCTGACAGGTGACGTTCATCTTTCTCCGTTCAGAGTAATGGAAGTGTCACTCTGAGATAATAGTGCTGGTGGAAGCAAGACTGGTAATGCTACCGCTGGAATCAGTCACACTGTATGCTGATAGAGAGCCAATTAGAGAGCTACAGTATTATCTCTCACCAGGCACTACTTACAGGCCACTGCTTATTGCTGCTCCATTTAATCATTTTATATTTGTGTGGACAGCTTAGTATCCAGAACGACACAAAACATATGTATCCCCCTTACAAGGGGATTATCAAAATAAAAGTGGTTCTCCTATGAGAACATGCTTTTCTCACTACCTTTCTCCTATTCTGTCACCTCACTAAAACACCCACATCCATGACTACATGGTAACAAACACATTCTGCATTGTCCAAAACACTTTATTGAGGGAATGAAATAGAAATCTTATTTTCTGTATGTATTTGGTTTTGTCCAGTTCACAGCACAAAAAGTGGATTATTCTCATTGTGGCAAGAACAACAACAAAAAAAATTCTTGGTCTATTTGAAAATGGGTGAAAACAAAACTGGAAGACAGAAGGATCTGAATATTTGGGGGAAATAAAATCTTGTAATGGTTTGATTTCAAAGTAGCAGGAACTTCCTTGTTGAAAAGTAAAGACAAAGTTGCATTTCTGTACATATCATATGTTTGGCCTGAAAGTCCTGACTCAAAACCACAGCTTTAATTCAGATTAAAGAAAACCCCAGTGTACCCTGATCACCTAACTGGCAAAGAGTGAAATGTCTGAGACCCTTCAAAGCTTACATGAAGGGATAGCTGTGGTCTGTGGGAGGCCAGACAACCATCTGGTAGCGCAGATCTGCCCTAACCTGCAAAGCAGAGATGCAGCCACAGAGGCCCAGAAGCAGATCTCCGGCTTGTGCAAAATGCCCCCAGCCACGGTGGCTGCTCTGGCGATTCCTATCAGCCAAGAGACTGCCCCTCTCCGACCCCGGAGGCGGTGGCCCCGCTGGCCCTGCACAGCCTGGAGGTGCCCACTCCGCACCAGCTGCAGCATCGTGGGGGACAAGCAGGATCAGCCTGCCCCATGGCATCTCACCCCCACGGACAGCACTTGCCAGCCTGGAGGTTCGCAGCTAAAAATAGCAGAAGTCTAGGGAGGTCTCACTAGGACTGTCCTTATAAAACCTTTCCCTCGACTTTGCAACATTTGATGTAAAGTACTCAGGCTGTTCTCAGATGCTTAAGACGACTGTGAAGGTGACTGGAGAGGTGTGAGGTTTGTGAGAATGAGAAAGGGATAGTTTCATCTTCAAAAATGTGAGGAAACCTGCTGTAATTTCATGAGCAATACACAAAACAGAGTGTGTCCCTCATAGCCTTAACCGATGCCATCTGCCACCCGCCGAAAATGCCCCCACACTCAAGGATCCGGCTCTCTCCCAGCCTCAGTGTAATCCCCCCATAATGGCATTGTCACCTTCTATTTCTCTGAGTTATCTCATCAATAAGAGCAGATAGAGGGTCAATGTGTTTTCAGATATGAAAGTAAACCCCACATAACTCTCTGGGTGTTAACTTTAATGATCAAACTCATAGCTATATATCAGCACTGACATTAAAGTAATGCTCCAGTCTACAAAAGGAAGGCAGAATTACCTATGCTTTTCTCTCACCCCCGGAGCCTTTACTCACAATTGAAATGAATTTCATTAGGAACTGGAGAAAGTTTGCCTGAACTGCTGTTGGCTCTCCACTTCACCCAGAAATTTTAGAAAGCAAGGAAAGCAGCAGACAGTATTTCCTTATTTTGAAATGCACAGACTAGGAATGAAAGTTTTTTCTACTTGGTCAAATAAACAAGTTTTTTTTTCCGATTTTTGAAAGTTAAAAATACCATTATATCCTGTCTGCTTTCTTCGGTAGGTATTTTATAGAAAGATGCAGAAAACAGTGCACTGACTTTTCCACTCCTAGCCGCACCCCATGACATGGTCCCATCACCCTGCCACCCCGAGTCCCACTGAGGTGCTCACTGCCCTTACACCACAGTGTCCATGTCTTTTGGAGGGGAACACCATCCTGTGAACGTTTTCACATTCCCAACCACACAAAGAATAAACCAGCAGCCCCTGAATGAGCCCTGACATTAAAACTTATTATTTCCTCTCCAAAAGATGGGCCACTTTGGTAAGCCAGCTAGTAGACCCTGTTGTGCTAGCTAGACTCCCAAAACTGATACCAGGGTAACAGATAGAGTGACAGGTTTCAGCAAAGGTGTTTCCTGCAGAAATAAAAAGACTGGAGGGAAGGAACAGGCTGATCTTGCGACAACCTGAAAGCTCATGTGCCTAAATCAAAGAAGGGCAATTACGGAACTGTTTACAGAAAAGTGACTTGTCGCACCAGGAACTACTTCTGGAGCTTCAGTGAAAAAGGTCAAAATACAAGGGAAATTGACTGGGAACCAGAACTAAAATGCTACAATGCAGCAAAGACTTTCCAGTCTACTGATTTTTGGTAGCTGTTTTGTGACTTTGTCACTAGTGCAAAAAACGTACTATTCCCTGCCAGTTGAAAATGGAAACCCACTACCATTCTAGCTACTTCCCTCTCTGCCCAGGTACACTGCCTGCCCTCCAGAGCCAGCAGCCGGCCACCCTTGCCCACAGGGCTATGCAGTATCACACAAACCTACCTTTGGGGCAGCTCCTTAAATGAGCAGATCAACAGAAACAAAGGGAAAAAAAAAAAAAGCCAAGATGGTGGATTGGAAAAGAACTCAGAAAAGTGATGTTTTATCGGTGGAGAAAAGAAAATATTAACAAAAGCCTAATGAATCCCTACCCCCAAGTACATTCAAGATCATCCTTCACTAACAGCACATCTTTTATATGAAAACTCTTACCATCTATGCTCAGCATGAATGAGTTTTACCCAAATTTATGCGATTGCTGAATGATCGTCAAGTCTCTGACACTCATATTTATGTCTGCAGGATCCCTGTTTAGAATGTGACACTGAGATGAACACAGGGGAAATGAGATTTGCTAATAAATATGGCAAAAAAAGACATGGGACATAAGGGCATGAGCCAGAACGAGTTTGTCATTCTCATTTTTCAGTACACGCGCTCTAGCTCCTGGCTATTGTGTTAAAAAACAGACAGACATGGATTTTCTCATCGATCACAGTAACAAAGAGAACTACCTTCCCTCATTAACAGTCCACAGAGAAGAGGGCACTGCGCGTTTGTCTGAAGAAAGAGTTTAAGGAAGAGTCTATTGTCACATACTTGCAAAATGCGATCTCCTTCACGGATCCGGCCATCTCTGGCAGCAATGCTGTTTGGATCAACCTGCACAGGACAATATCCAGTAACTGAACATGGAAAGATTTTTACTGGAAATTATAACAGCTGCATAATTTGAAGAAGGAGCATTTTTACTCTGTACAGAGGCAATCTGAAGTTTCCTTTACTGTCATATGAACTCAACAGTTCTCTAAATGATTGTATAAGCTTGTTTCAGATAAAAGCTTAAAGACAGAAAGGGTTGGGACCATATGATTTTCAGATTAATACTTTCCTACAGCACCATCAGGTATTAACCTTTGGAGCACTTAGAATTAACGACAGAGCCCCTCTGCTCTGGATAGGACTGAGGTGGTTCTGCAGCATTTGATAGCTCTATACAAACGGGCCTTGTCTTTGGGAAAGAAGCAGGTTTATTTCTCATTCATGGAAACATTTACTGTTAAATTATTGTCTCAGTTACCAATCTGCTACTTCCTCTGGAATTTTGCAGCTCGTGAGGAAACAACAAAAAACCCCAAAGGATCTATACAAAAGGATTGTATAGATCACTCACAGGTACTGTATATCATTTCTGGTCTAAGTCAGTTAATTTTAAGTTAGTTTAACCTAAATAGATGTTTAGGGCTCCATTAACAGTTTATCAAAGTCACTATAGCTCATCCCTGAGCAATGACCTACTGTTCATTGCAGGGCAATTCGATCTATCACCTTCCACTTGATGGTTATCTTAAATCATTTATTTTGCCTCGTCACGCCATAAGCTATTTTTTCAAACCAAACATTTGAGTTGAGCATTTGGTTTGCAGGTTACATCCTCTACAGCTGTTAGATATTATTTTCTTCTTGTGCATTGTCATAGACAAAAATTATTCTGAAGTGCTTAATCAAACATGAAAGACCATATAATTACATTCACTTAAAGAGGTCTGAGAAATTTCTACCATGTAGGAAAACCAGCACATTTCAGATATAATCCTGGAGTGAATTAAGAGATTCCTGCACTTTCTTTGTCCTCACAAGGTCGAACATACTTTAACAGCAGCACTTATACAACTGGTGGAAGACTTGTTCTAGGGAAGTTTTATATTAATTCCTCATTCTTGTTTCAAGGCTGTGCTTTCCAGCTTCTTTGACATTGCTGCTGGCCTGTGAATGAGCAATCTTGTCTTCATCCCTGTTTACTGATGCAGAATTCTCTCTACTGATCTTCTCTGTCCATGAGCTTCACTCAGAATTTAGAATCAGAGAATCATAGAATATCTGAAGTTGGAAGGGACCCATAAGTATGATCAAGTCCAACTCCCTGCTCCTTGCAGGACTACCTGAAACTAAACCATATGACTAAGAGCGTCATCCAGACCACTTCTTTGGGGAGCCTGTTCCAGTGATTGACCAGCCTCTCAGCGAAGAACCTTTTCCTAATGTCCAAATTTGGTTCAACACATCACAAGAGTGACAAATTGGGAACACAGTTCACACAGGACAATCACCAGTGAGCTTGGACTCACAAGAGTTCTGCTTTATCCAGAACAACAAACCTCTTTGAAATGGCTGCAGACTCAAAGGGAGTTGTGTGCCTGGAAGTATTGTGGACTGACCCTGTGAAACACTAATACTCTGTGACATGTGCTGGATGCCATGTTTTCCTGGTGAAGCCAATGAAAAACTGAGGAATCATCCCATCTCAGTATCCAGTATTCTACTTTTTTTATGGCAAAAAAAATTATTAGTCTTTCTGACATATTCCTCTCCCAAGCTACTCTCTCCACCCACCTGTGGTATGTCTGTGCATATCACAACTGTAACAAAACCACAAATAATAAAAACATGATTATCCACTGTTACAATTACCGAGGCTATGGCAGGGGGCGAATGCAAGCAGGGTGTGGAAAAGGCGCTTTTATCCTTAAAAACTCTGCCTGATTTCCTACATAAGGGCAGATTTCTTTCAAAATTCAGACCGTGCTCAGACTGCTTTCTATTTCCCTAACTATGATGTTGTAGTTAAAAGCATTCAGATTAAAGAAGATCACTAGTAATAATTACACTGCTTGGGCAACATAATTTAAACTGATAATCTAAATGAATTGAAAGTGACATGTGCTGGCTGATGGCCGACACTTCTGCACTCTGGTCTCGGAGCACTTGCTCTTACATTCCCTGTCACGTTCAGCCCTCCACCACCAGCATCTCCCAGGTTCCTCCCATCGCCATGTCCTTACCTCACTGACATAGATCCCCGTGTCCTCCTCGTCATCAGTTCTGTAACAGACAGTCAGCCCCAGCTTCTCCTGGCTGCTAATGCGGCACAGCTCCACCTCCTACGAGAAAACACACAGGCTCGTATGGTGGCTTTTGGCAAGGGTGGAAAAAATTGTGTAGCACAAGGGAGCACTAAGCCGCTGACATACTCGTACTGTCGGACATACTCACACTCATACTGTATGACCTACTCACACTGCACAGTCTCAACACACAATATTTTGTGTGCATCTTTAAGGGGGAAAATATTCTGTGAATTAAGAAGGAAATTCAGGTACATTGCAAGTTCAAGCTATATAGAAACAGTTCAGTAAGATAAGCTGAACTTTGAGAAATATGGCTGTGCATTGATTTTGCAGTTCTTTTGCTTTTGGATAATAGAAGCTGACTTACAGTATATTACATAGTCATTTTAGTCCTACCACACCAACTATTGATTTATAAGATAAAAGACAGACTGGCTACACATCAATCAATCCATCAAACAAGTGCCACTCCCTTCTAAGAGCAATCCAAGCCATAAAGCAAAACCACAGCCTTCCATTAATAGCATAATTCCTTCCCTGGCCAGTTTAATGCTATAGCTTCATAGCTTCATTGCAGAACCTGTTAGATAACAGAAGGATGCTTCAAGGAATCTCCTGTGGAGCTGAACAGCCGTGGCATCCTCCTCAATTGTGAGATGATGCAGAAAACATATTTTTAGTGCCAGATGTCCCAGCAGTGGCATCTCATGAAAAGTGCAAGTTTTAGGGCAGATGGCACAGTGATAACTACTACATACACCCATCTGAGTTAAGCATCTTTAGGGTTTCACGGGGGAATCATTCACAAAAATGCAAAGCTGCACTTGGTTTGAACACTGTGAAACAAATAATTGTAATAAAGCACGATGAATCCAATAACACAGAGTATTAGCTTGGTTGCAAATGGGAAACTTTAGTTGATATATGTATTTAAAGGGAGTCTGCAGGTGACATTTGGAGCTTAACAGCTTCTGCTTCTCATGGCTGCGCAAAAAAAAGGGGAGACAAACCCAGTCTCAGTTCTCAGTCTGTGATACAGAGCTTGTCCCTCCCCATCCCCAGAGATACCATGCAGATTAATCCATAAATAGGCACAGGGTGCACAGCAGTCAGGACTCACTACTGAGTCGGATCGAGTTGTGGGGACCAGGTGTCGAAATACCACAACTTACAGAAAAACCTGCAGTTCACACACATGGGTTAGCCGATGAACCCCATGCCATTTTCATTTCAGCTGAACACCTTTCACAAAGTGCACTACTATGGCTCCCTCCCCTGCTCCCTCACCAGCGTACACATCTACATGGGTTCAGTACCTGCATAAACCCTATAAACTTCTCCCTGGACTTCGGACACACAGTATCTTAATAGAAACTAAGAAGATGTAGAAAATACCATGAAACCTGTAGTATCCTTTAGTTTTTCTTAAATATAGCAGGAGTTTTAAATAGGGTGGTAAGGAGTGGAATTAGTTGGCAGGACACATGTTATACATCAGGTTTGAAAGAAGAAACATGGGACCGTGTTTTATTAGGGAAGAGAATTGCAGTGACCTGATTTTGGCATTGGGAGTGAAAGTACATGTACTGAAGGAAGGCCTATTCAAAACCCATAATAATTGATGCCTCCAGAGGGAAAGAACACTTGACTAGAACTGTAATATTAGGGAGAAATTACAGTAACAAAACGGCTTCAATTACAGCAACAAGGTATACTTTTAAGGAATAAAGAAGCTTGCGGTCCCTTGGAGGCCTATAAGGAAGCCTAAATACACCATAAAGGACTGAGACTGGGACCTTTAAATCAAGGCAAATGAGGAGCTGTGCACAAGCTGAAATCCATTGACTTTCATTGTCCTGCCGGCACAACCTCCCGTCTCCCTGTGCTGAGGCTGGACAGGGGCCCCAAGGACTGCTCTGAACATAATTTCTTTGGTCGGGAATGACCTTGAAGTTCTTGTGGATGATTTGTCTCAAAATGTTACTACAAAGCTGTACGAATGTTTCAGGCTGCAATCAAATGGAATCCTTTCAGTGTGCTAGCTCAACGAGTGGAATAATTTAACCAGTTAGGGCATGAAAGAGCAAAGGAAAATGAGGATGACCCTAGAGGCTCCATCCTGGGAGTCCAAGAGGTTTCCTAAAACTGTCTCTGGGAACCAGCTGAGGACAAATATCAGTGACTAATATCCTCTGACTGGGATGCACCAGCCCTGGCTGTGCATAGCGTTTGAGCTGTCACAGTTTTCATTTCTCCTCCCAGTAACAGAGTTTAGAGCTGAGATCTGTACTCAGAACTCTTGGGACCACCTCTCTCCTAAATGACTGTATGGGGCGTAGTCCGATGACTGCATAGTCTGATGACTGTGCGTGGCTTTGGCCACTTAGAAGCTGTAGATACCTACGACTGAGATACTGATACTTAGTGTTAAAGGCCCAATAAGCATTTCATGTTTTTCAGTCTAGACCCAAATACAAACTCAAGTAATAACTCATTCAGCATGAGGGATAAGTTTTATGAGGTCTCTTGCTTTGCATTGGAAGTCATTCCAGATAACTGCCTTTTTCCCACTGCAGATCTGCACTACTAACCTCACAGCGTCTTCTTTTTTACAGCAAATGCAATACATCCTGGTCACATTCAAACAAATCAGGGTTGACAAAACATCTTTGGAAAATTTAAAAGCACTTTGCATAGAATATTAAATCATATCTCAGAGCAAAAACCCACAAGTCCGATCTTTAGCTGTATATAACAAGCACATCTGAAACAACTTCAGAAGAAGAGCAGCAACTGAGACACTAGAGGACCTGGACCACTATGGTCAGAAGCATCTGACATTGCATTTTGCAACAGAAGTTTTTTAGTGGGTTTTTTTTTTCCCAACTGGTCTTTAACAGAAAAAACAATAAGTTTGGCAGCAGTAATGAATTTGTAAGAATGCAATTTCCTTCTCTGAAATCCCTTTACACACATGCATGTGTGCGCGCACACACACATACACATAGTTGCTTTCTCTTTGGGTTTTGTGTGTTTGCATGTAGGGACTGAACTGACAGTCTTCAAAATTCAGCATTTTAAAAATCTGTGAGAAACAATATTTGGGGATTCATGAAGTGTGCTGACAGACAGATGGTGGAAGGAGAGGGACTGAGGAGAAAGCTTGGGAGATGACAGCCTCCCCCTCTTTTGGGCACTCTGGGGGCAGCCGCCTCTCAACACGAATGGTATTTGCTGCCAAGTGACAGAAATCAATGCCAAATTGCTAAATCTTTGACTTGCTGCTTCTTTTGTCTGTGTGGGCAGAACAATAATTCAGTGCATTGCCACAGTGAAGACAATACTTCAAAGTGTTTTGCCATAAATTATTTGGTTAAAAGATAGACATGGAAATTAGAAAAAGGACTATCCTGTCTTGAAAGACTGGGATGAAAATTTCCAAGGTAGCTCATTTCATCACACATAGCAAAGACAGCAAAGACGTGGAGGTCATGCTCTTGAAGGACTGAAAACTGGTTATATTGGTCATCCTCTAAAATGATGGAGTAGTGGCTGTAGCCTCTAGCTCCCATTCGCTTCAGTGATGGAAAACCAGTTTATAGGCTGTCAGCCTCAGGAGACATAAGACCAAACAAGGAGCTGTCACTTCTTCGGGGAGGGAAGGCTAGGTTAAAACTATCATTTCTCTCAAGTGGTAGAGAAGTAGATTATAAATGTCATCAACCAGGCTGCTGGCTTTCTAGAATTGCTGAAAAGAGGTTAAGGGCTATTAAAGAAGGCCTTGTAAAAGTTTGCATCAGTTTGCAGTTATGTTAGATCTTTCCACTGGAAGCTAGATTACAAAGAGTAAAGTTGATGGTCTGTTAGAAAACAGACCATGAACCCTTCAGTGACTGTTCTTAAACAGCCTTTTTGGGGCAGAAAGAGCTCTGAACTCTTCACATTTTCCCTCCACACACTGAAAAACAAACAGATTACAGCCTAAGAGGGACGTTGGTAAAATTTCTTCTTGCTGCAACCAGAAGATGTTGACAAGAGTTATTAATCTGATGACCCTGTGCTGCAATAACTGCGCACATGGAAAGCTTACTCTGCCTCATTTTTCTTTGCTGACCACTCTGCCAGTGGTCTCTACTAAGCCATGCACACCTTAGAATCCTTCCCTCAATTTCTGTCAGGATTAACTACTCCCTGTTCAACACTGTTCAACGCATTTATAGTGCAGCTGAGCTCTGCTCCTGCCTCATCACTGCCTGTCAGCCTCTCTCACCTCCATTCAAACCACCCCATCCTGGCACCCCTCTCCACAACCACAATCCTTCTGTCCTCACCTTCAAAGCACTTCTCACTTCACTCTTTCCCAAAGTGACTCCTCACTTGCATTCACAGGCAGCAGCCTCACTTACCTTTTTCTCCCATTCCCCCCCAAACATTTCCATTCTTAATAAGTGCCCACATCCACACAGCCCCTGCATCACCTTCCTTTTACTCTCACCTTATAACCCCATCCTGTTATCTCACCTATGGAAATCTGTAAAGAAATTACTGCCTGGTAAGCAGCAGGTCCCATCTACCAAATTTACCACTTCACTGTGTATGAACCATGCATACAGACAGGCACTACCTAAACAACCTATTATTACTGCCACTTTGTTCTCCTTCCTCCCTGTCACCCTCCGATCCTTTGTTTGCCTTGCCTTCTCACACTTCTGTGTGATGAGAAGAAATTTTTGTACTGGTGGGAAATAAGGCAAACGAGAAATTAGAGTTCAATACAAATTAGTTGTGATGTACAGCAAGCTAGCTCTTCCCAAGGTAGGAGATGCTCAAAGCCCATACAAGAACTTCCAGTGTTTGGAGGCAAGTGGGTGGCTTTGAAACTCAGAATAAACTTGAGGTCTGACATGTCCCTTGCCCAGGAACTGCCAGGGAGTAAGCGGGTTCAGGGAATCCCTGACGCTCTCTGTGATAATATTATTTTTGTTGAATTTGACCTACTATATTCACAGAATTAGCGAAGACATTGATTGAAT